GCAGTCGCTGTGGGGTTGCGCTGGGCCCTGTGCGAAGCGGGTGTGCTGCCCGGCGGCCCCGTGCCCGTCCCTGACCGGGGCACTTGAGAGGATTCCTCTCCTCCGGGGCAGTAAGGGCAAGTTAGCAACAGCAGCGGGGGAAGTGTCGTCGGGTGCCGAGGATCTAAGGTGTAGCCGAAGCAGGCAACGCTCTGAGCTGTGTTCTTGCCCCGTGCTGGTCAGCTCCTGTCTCTGTTCTGTCTGACTGGCATTAGACAGTTCACAGTCTTTACTACAGCTGTGTGGCCTCAGTTTAGCCTTAAAGAGCAAAACTTGGGACCGCTCTGTTTTTCTCCCCAGTAAACACCCAGTAAAGCAAAGGGAAAGCACAGGCAAGATCTCACATATTCAAATCTAGCTCGGAAAGATCTTCTGGGAGACAGTTACGTGCATGGTTTTACCTAACATTAGGCTTTTCATATAGATTTAGCAGTGTGGTTATTGTATTCCTTCTGGTAGACTTTAGACTCATGAACACGTTTAGTTTCAGTCAGCAGAACTTAACTCTCTACTGCCTATCTCCTGTTTAGATGTTGATGCCCAAGAAGAACCGAATTGCCATCTACGAACTCCTTTTTAAGGAGGGAGTGATGGTAGCCAAGAAGGATGTCCACATGCCCAAGCATCCCGAGCTAGTAGACAAGAATGTGCCCAATCTCCATGTCATGAAAGCCATGCAGGTACGGGGGCCAGGTTGCCCTGTTAGGGCTGGGCTGTAAAGCCAGCTGTGATGTGGTTGTAGGAGTTTGTGTGTGGCATACGTATGAATAAACATCGCCAGATATTGCAGTTTCTCACCTTGTTGCAATTGTTTTCCCATTTTCCTGATTACTGCCACGTTTCCTGTTTCCTTGTTTTATTGTCCTACACAGACTGTTAGGAGACTTTTCTTTTTAATTGGTGCAAATCCGTAGCCCTCATTTTGAAGCTATGATTGATATCTTTGTGTGTGATGATCTTAAATTTTCCTTCGGAACGGGAACGTGAGTGATGCTGTAGTTGTGCGTTCTGCATGTGAACTTTTACTTATTTCTGTTCTGTTATTCCTCGCTTGTTGCTGATAAGCTCTTGTGTTAACAGAGAAAAATATTGGGGGATGGCATTGATCAGAGATGTTAAATGATAAGACTCATACACTTAACTAAAAAGTAACTGAGAACTCTCTCTCTAGTCTCTGAAATCCCGTGGTTATGTGAAAGAACAGTTTGCGTGGAGGCATTTCTACTGGTACCTGACCAACGAGGGCATCCAGTACTTGCGCGACTACCTTCACCTTCCCCCTGAGATTGTGCCTGCAACCTTGCGCCGCAGTCGCCCCGAAACTGGCAGACCACGGCCCAAAGGTAAAGTGTGGATGAGACGTGACTACCGTGTCTACAGGAGAGAGCATGTAACGAAGTTAGGCCTGTTGCTATGGCGGATAGTCAGCTGAAGTTGAGCTCCCGCTGCAGACTGGTATGAATTACTCTGATTCTTGGATTCATGAACATGTGTAGGCAAGTAGAGACGTATAGGTTTTATTGCTTTGTGTTTGGCACTAGTGTGATGGTTACTGACTACTGAAAAGTTAGAGAGGGCTAAAGCAAGCTGTGAAATGGAATGAAAGACTGAGAAGTGCTTTGAGTGTGGGACGTAGCCTTTCCACGATAAGTGACTTGAATTACTGGGAGCAGGCCTGCTGAAACCTCAGCCTGTGGATCTAGATGGTAGCTAGTGCCCAGGTTTCACTGAGGTCCTGGATAGATGATGTCTCTAGTTAGGCAGAAGGCTTTTTGAAAATCATTCTTGTCTTTTGGGAAGAACCTGCCACACATCGCTGTAGTTCTCCATCGGGAAGGCAGTGTATGGGTTGTCTGTCTAGTCCAGCAGATAGAGAGAACGTTGTCTCTGGTTGAGTTACGCTTAGAAGAACTGCCTGGGGGGCTGTTGTGTAAGACTTCAGTAGCCTTGCCTAGGATTGCCAGTGCGTGGAACCAACTTGCTTTTCAATGTAGCACACAGTGGCCTAACACTCAGTGGATGAAAGCTGAAACTGACGAACTGTAGGTGCGGCATATATTTCAAAGGAGTATTTGTCTGTGGCACCTTAGGTCTGGTTGGATGTCTGCAGTGCTGGCTTTATCGTGGACTTTTAACACGCTGTTAGACAAGTCAAGTCCTTAAAGCTGCCTTCAGTTTTACAAGTTTTCAACAAATGCATGTAGTATGTTTTATTTGTAGTTCTGATTTTTCTTGATGGGTTTTCCATATCCCAAAGAGAAAGGGAGATGCTAGTCATGCAGACATATCTACCAGTGTTGACCTCTCAAATTGCCTGCAGCTGCCTCTTCACAGGTACCTCCTTGTAAAATGATACAGTGTTTCCTGCAAATATCTGAAACGTATTGCCAGGAGGTGTGGTTTTGGGTTGCAAATAGCAGAATCAAAGAATCATGTGGGGATTGCAGGCCTCCCTGTTTTGCACACTAGGTAGAAGGTGCCCTTTTCCCTCTTGGGTACTTGTTTAATGGCCTAGGAATATTTTAGGAATCGTTTGGATATCCTTTTTGATGGACAAGGTTATATAGTAGTACAGTATAAATTAACTTCAGAAGAATGTGATCAAGCCGCCATGTCCTTCAGTTCCGTTCTGAAAATGTTACTCTGTTCTAAGGTAATAATTAGAGGGGAAGGATGGTTACATCGCTTGTATGCGTTTGGAAATGGTGCGTGAAATCCCTTCTGCTTTGTTTTCCTAGTTTTTTGTCTAGTAGCAGGGATGCAGCACCACAGTGAAAGCACAAATTGTAAAATGTCAGATTGTCCGGAGGGTCTTTGGGGTGACCAAAACTTCTGAAACCTGTTACAGAAGGGAGAGAGAAAATTACTGCAGCCATGGTTGGCAGAACAGCATTGCCAGGTCTCTAGGGCTACGAAATGTTACTCCTCTCGAGGTAGGAGACAGTGGGTCTTTCACCTTACTTGTGTGGAGTTGCCTCTTCTGTTTACAAAAGATGATGTTGTAGGATGTCGTTCTACTCTTAAATGAGGGCTCGTTCGGTGAAGGGGGAGCCTGCATTACAAAGCTCTTTCTGATATGTAGTAGGAGTGTATTCTTCACGCTTCTGGGCTACGTCATATCCCAGTCAACAAGTACTGGACACCGCGCTTGGGACAGAATCTGTGTCGGTGTGTGTGTATGTGGTGGGGGAGTTCTGCCTGTAACTCCTTTAACTTCTTTGTCAGCCAAACAAAACTGTAGCATCTCCTGCTTCAAAAGCAAGAACTGCATTGAAATAGGAAGATGATAGTTTATTTGATCTCCGAGGAGCATTGGAAGTTATTACATGTAGTCTTTAGAAGCTGTGCTTATCCAGTGAGCTAAAGAAATTGCATATCTAATAGGAGGGTGGGACTTAGTTCCTGGCTAAAATTTGCTTAGGGTTTCTTGTTGTGAGGAAGCTTCATTTACAGCATAATTGCCAGTGACCTCATCCAGAGCATATCTTACTGGGGTTAGTTGCTCTGGCTGCAGGGCTTGTCTGTTGCTACAGTGCTATTTCTCTGTGGACTGGGTGCTGTAGATTGCAGCAGAGTAGGAGTCAGAGATGTGTGTGCGGAAAGTGGTGCAGAATCCAAACTTCCAAGTTTTGCTTGACCTTTTTTTTTTTTTTTTTTCCCCCCCTTTGGCCTTTTCTGGCACTTTCATGCAGTGCTGCCAACTTTCTCAAGTAAGGCTTGATGCAAAAGTTGGAACGTTTAGTCTAAAGCAGATTTTAGACCACTGTGTATTTGACATTTGCAGTTTGTCTGTTACATGTGTAATTGAACTGTTAGAAATGAAGGATGGACAGATAGGGAAAAAAAATCCACTGGCTAGGGAATGTGCTATTACAGTTTAATCTGACAGAAAAGAGGAACGTAGAAGCATTGTAGGATAAATTAAATAATCTCTTGGCACATCTGTGCATAGTGTTTCTCTTTTGTTTTAAAAGCATCTATTATAAGAACTGATTTTGTATGGGAAAGCTGGTGCCTGTAGCGTAAATCAAGCCTACAGAGAAAACACAATTCATGTGTTTCTGCAGCTGGTACTGTGGTGTGTCATACAACAGCCAGCCTTTATTCTGTAGTACTGCTTGAGCACAAAGACCTTGATCTGGTGCTGCTGGAGAGTATTTCATCACTGGTAGTCCAGGGGAACTCCATGAGTTGCACAGAGGCTAGCAGTCCACCAGATTTATTTCTTTCCTACAAGCGTTCTGTCCAATATTAATCTGATGCTACATAGGTAATCTGCTCTTCAGTTCATTAATCTATTCCATTTTGGAGGATTTGTGATACTGATAGTGTAGCTGTGTTTTAGGTTGGGATGAGAATGTCATGCAGTTTGTGGCTTAGCTAAGGAGGAGCTTGTCATGACATGACGTGAACATGACAAGTTCCCTGTATTTCTGGGATTTGGGGGTTTCTTCTTCATTTTTGGCCTTTGTTTGAAGCAAGTGCTGTAACTGTGTTGGCCAGTAGACTGTTGTTGAGATGGTGCTGTAAATCCAGTTTTTGACATTATTTATAGCTTCGACCCAAGTACAAGTTTA